GCCTGGTGAGGGGCTTCCCACTCCCGCCCCCTGCCCCAAGCCCTGCGCCCCGACTGCGCCGTACTGGCTCCCGGCCCACTGGACAAACATGCCCTGTCTGGTATAGTCCCGATGGCACCAGCAGCAGCAACCCCTGCCTGACCGCCAGGCCTCGGCCAGGCGGAGCCCTTGCTGGGAAAAGCCTCCTCCCCTGGCTGGCCACAGCAATGGTCTCTTTGCCTCCGGCCCGGACCAGAGACTGCTCCATTCTGTGCGCAGCATGGGCCCAAGGAGAGTCCGCCTGGCACCCCTCTCGTTCCTCGGCTGCACACCACCCTGCTGAGGCTCCCCTCAGAGCCCTAAATGTTCTGGCAAACTCTTACATACCCTGCAAACCCCCAGTTCCAATGTCCCATATTTCTCTGCCAGTTTCCCCTCAATCCTCTTTACCTAGCCTAGTCCTGACTCCTCAGAACTGTGCACAGCTCCGGCTCCTACCAGCCTGGGGGTCTCTGCGGCATGAGGAGGAAAACGTCCGCCCATCCCCTCCATGACTCCCACCCCACACAGCCCAGCAAAAGGAAGCTCAAAATGCTTGTTTACTGGGAATAACGGGGGCGCCGACTGACCACAGCACCTTGAAAAAAAACCAGCATGCTCAGAACATTCAGACCCAGCCTGGCAGGCACAGAGGGGACGACTGTGAAAAACCCTAGGAGAACAGCAGCTCACTCCGAGCTGGGGGGCACACCTCAGCCACCCCAAGATCCCATTTCTGGGTGTGAGGGGCAGCGAAAGTCCCGCAGCTGGGGCAGGGCCCAGGGCCTCCCATCACTTTGGAAGTACGGCAGTTTTTCCTGTCTGCAACAGTGCTGTACAGCACGCCTCCTAGAATCAAAAGTGGATTTTCCAACTGTCCCTAGGAATCAGCTCAGTGGCACACATGTCATTCTAGTACTGGGGAGGCTGAGGCAGAAGGACGGCAAGTTTGAGTCTAGCCTGGCCCTTTGCACTGAAGGACATTCCTCACCCTTGTTATTTTTTGATTTTTGACACAGGGTCTTGCTAAGTCACAAATTTGCGTAGGCTGGATTAGGACTCAGGATCCTCCTGCCTCTGCCTCCCACAATGCTAGGATTATACGTGTGCACCACTGGGCCTGGCTACAAATTGTTTCTGCATTTCTGAGCTCAGTTGCAAGGCATGTGGTATGCAGGCTTCCCTTTGAAAAGCAGGAAAAATCCCAGCATTTAATGCAGATTAACACCACAGTCAGATACCTGGACCCCCAGTGGCGCACCTGTCACCGGGATCTAAAAGTCAGCAGGAAATGGAGAGGACGTGGAAGACGGCAGCACACACACCCACACCCAGGGCTGGTGGCGGCTTCCCTAGCAGGTAAATATGAGATTAACATATTGCTACCCAGCAATTCCACTGCTGAATTTATACCCATGAGAAAAGAACTCACATGTCTACACGGAAACTTGTACAGCACTGCAAAGCCCAAAGATACAAAAGGCTTAAGTGTCTATATGTTTGCAAATGCATACACCCAGCAGGGTCATCTGAACAGCGGAATATTACTCAGCCAGGAAAAAGAGCAAAGCTGTGACACTTGCCACAGCGTGGATGGATCCCAAGGACACTGGGCTCAGTGAAAGACGCCAGACACAGAAGGACACACAGCATGGGCTCTGTGGACAGGAAATGCCCAGGACAGGGGAGCCCAGAGACAGGAAGTGGATTTGGGGGTGCCGGGGCTGGGAGGGGACAGGCTCATGGGACAGACGGGGCTTTCTTTTGAGGTTATGGAATGTTCTGAAATCCACAGAGAGCTGAGTTGCAAATGTCCTGAAAAGCCACTGAACTGTATATACTTTCAAAGGTGAACTGCATACGTGTAAATCAGATCTCAGTGAAAACTGAGTCAACATTTATCTGAGTTGTTGAGATTCAAGCGTCAACCAAGCCCCGAAACAGTTGAAGATCTGGGATTAAGAGGCCGCCAGCTCAAAGCCGCACAATGGCCACTCCAGCGCTCGGGTGTGGCTGTGTGGGTGACAGGAAGCCGCCAGGATGCACACCCAGTGCCAAGATCCCAATCGCAGCCCATGACGCACTGGAGCCCAGGCCAGGCAGGGAGCTCCTTCTCCGGGACAGGTGGCTCCACCCTCTCCAGGCCCTGGATTTCCAAGGAACTCAGCCTGGCCGCCCCCCAAGCCCGCGGCCTGCGGCAGAGTCTCCCAGCTGCAGGGCAGAAGTGTCAGCCCTGGGCCCTGCCAAGACCGGGAGAAGTGCAGCCGGTGCCAGGTGGCGGCGGCCGGCCAGCGACGCCACGTGCCAGGAAGGCAGTGGATGCTGGGCTGGCGGGGCCCAGGCTGCTGCTGACAAGCTCAGCACCAACGCCTGCCCAGCTGGGCAGAAAACACGGTGCCTGGACTGCAGGACCCTCCCTGTCTGCCCACAACATCCACATCGGAAACCCAATCATCATACAACACCCACTTCCCAGACCACACAGCCAGCAGCACTGGCCTCCGCACACACCGAGCCCTGCCCCACGTCAGGGCCACGTGTGGCTGTCTCCCTTGCCAGTCACCTGTCGGGCACACCGGGCTCCTTTATTACTTTCTGTGGTACTGGAAACTGAAACCAGGGTCTGCATACTGAGCTACATCCCTGACAGGACCTCGCCTTGTAGTGCAAGCTGGCTCTGAACACACACAGCGATCCTCCTGCCTCAGCCTCCCAGAGTGCCTGGGTTTATTAAGCCTAGATTCCTGGTTCCTTTTTCCCATTCAACGCTGTTACAAATGTTCCAAGCTGAGGGGCCTTCTGCTCCCCATGCTGCTCCCAGACGTACTCTCATCTCTGATGTCCTGGTCATTGCTGACCTGCCCCTGACAGAGAGAAACTGAGGCGCAGAGCATGGTGCAGCTGATCACACAGCCAGAACCTCCCTCTTGGGCCTGGGCCCAAGGCAGCAGCTGGGACCAGGCCTGGGGTGTGGCCCAGTCACACCCAGGAGCGGTGAGTCTCCCTGTAGGTCTGCTGGCTGTCTGCCCACCTTGCCTCTCCACACCAGGACCAGGGGCTGGAAGGCGAGGCTCCCAGAGCTCCCTCGGGTTCCTCGAAACTTTCCCTCTTGATGCCTCAAAATTCTCCCTTCTGCCTCTGAGACCTGCTTGCCCACCACTTGAAGCACTGTCCCCCGCCTCTGCAACTCTCTGTTACAACCAATGGCACCATCGCCCAATTTCCAGGTACCTGTGGGTTTTATCAGCCCAAACTGAAGTCTCCATGTCTCCTGGGGTTTTTTGTTTGTTTGTTTTTCCTTTCTGCAGTACCAGGATTCCAACCAGGACCTTCACACTGAGCTCCATCCCCAGTTCTTTTCGATTTTGATTTATGGTACTGGGCATCGAACTCAGGACTTTGCACTCCCCAGCTCTTTTTGAGACCGGATCTCACCAAATTACTAAGTTGCCCAGTCTGGGCTGGAACCTGAGATCCTCCTGCCTCAGCCTCCCAGAGTACTGGGATGACAAGAGTGTGCTACCATTGCCTGGCTCCCAACTTACACCTCTTGATCACTGACAAATTGTAATTCCCTTTTCAACAAAGCAAACACCCAGCCGGGCTCAGAGGGTGGAGCCTCCGGCAGCCCTGGGACCTCCAGGCCTTTCCCTCAAAGCTGTTGCAGGCAGTCAGAGTCCTCTGCCCCCTACCTAGGCTACTGGGCTGCAGCTGTGGCTCCAGTCCTGACAGGGAGGTGGGCTCCCATCGGTGGCTCCAAGAGGCCAGGCAAGGCCCAGCTGGCCAAGGGCTGCAATGCAAGTCCAGCCGGCCACCAGCCACCATCTGCTTTCCATCTGCGCGGTGGACTTCAAAGGCTCCTCTACCCGTCCGCCCGGCCACTTCCTCCAGCCTGGCCGCCCGCGGGGAAGGGCCAGGGCCTCCCCTGCTTCCTCCTCGACGCTGAGGGGCCCAGGAAGCTTTGGGGTGACCCTGAAAGCCCCGATGGGCTCTGCCCACCCTCAGTCTCCAACCCCAGCCCCAAATGCCTGGCTCTTCTGAGGTCATATCCAAGGGGCCACCAACTGTTCCCAGGGCCACTGCCTGGGCTGGCACAGCCATTTCTAGTTTCCCACAGCCACAGGAGCCACTCTATTCATCTCAAGTGCACACAACTCGCACAGACTCCATGCACCCCCAGGTGACGACAGAAACCCTGTCCCTGAGTCACTGAGCTCCGCCCCTCCAACCACGTTGGTTGCCCACGGCTTTTGTTTTTTGCAGTTCAGGTGATAAACCCAGGACCTTCCCACTGGGATACATCCCTAGCTCTTTTTATTTTTTATTTTGAGACAGGGTCTCACGGAGCCTCCAAGCTGCCCAGACTGGGCTTGAATTTGAGATCCTCCTGTCTCAGTCTCCCAGAGAGCTGGGGTGACAAGCGACAGGTGTACGGCACTGTGCCTGGCACCCATCAGCCTTTGAGGAACCGAGTCACTCCATTAGACCTGCCTTTCCGACTGGTGACCCCAAAGTCACCTCCGTCCATCCTGGCGTGCAAATAGCCGAGCTCAGGCAAAAGTCTCTCCTACCTGTGTGTCCCGTGTCACAGCCTTCATCACCTGGTCCACCCCAGCTGCTTGCAAAAATCTTAATCGTGGCTCTCTGAAGTCTCCGGGCCAGGACCAACCCACCCCATGGTGACAGGGACAGCCTGAGGATCCCTGGGCCCGTGATGCCGCGCAACGCACCTGCTTGAACTGTTCCTCGTAGGTCCAGTCCCCGTGGTCGGGTGGCTGCAGCTGAGAGGCTACGTGGCTGGGCCCTCCAGGGTGCGCAGGGCCGGTTCCCAGCCGCTCGGGGCCGCCCAGTGCCCTGGGGATGCCATCTCCGCGGAAGGCCTGGGCTGGCGG